AGCAGCAGCAGCAGCAGACCCAGCAGCAGCAGACCCAGCAGCAGCAGACCCAGCAGCAGCAGACCAGCAGCAGCAGACCCAGCAGCAGACCCAGCAGCAGACCCAGCAGCAGACCAAGCAGCAGCAGCAGCAGACCAAGCAGCAGACCAAGCAGCAGCAGCAGCAGCAGCAGCAGACCAAGCAGCAGACCAAGCAGCGCAGCAGCAGCAGCAGACCACCCAACAGACCACCCAGCGCAGCAGCAGCAGCAGCAGCAGCAGCAGACCACCCAGCGCAGCAGCAGCAGCAGCAGCAGCAGACCACCCAGCGCCGCCGCAGCAGCAGCAGCAGCAGACGACCCGGCCCGGCTAGCTTTCGTTCACCCCCTCTGGCCTCAAGTATATATATATACATATATACACTTAAGTTAATTAGACTCCACAAACTACGACTCGCTTGATTTGATAGTCAGTTGAATGGCAAGCTTTCAGGACAAAGAAACTGGGCTCTTTGACTGCATTACAGCAACTGCATGTTTGACTCTCCCTCTCTGGCAAAGGATGTAGGCATGTTGAAGCCGAAGGTACGTGACACACAACCTCCTTGCCATCCCCATCGTGGACTTCGAGGGAAAGTGCTTGGGTGTGATCCAGGCGATCAACAAGAACGGTGCAGGCCTAGCCCAGCTTAAAGACTAATAGCAATGGCCTCCAACCTACTAGCAATGGCCTCCACCCACGGCCTCCAACCTAAGTGCAGAATGGTGCAAGCCTAGCCCAGCGGTAAAGACTAAAGTGCTCCACATGCCCACCATGTTATGCTCCACGTGATGCTTCTCATCATCGCAGGCCAGAGCTTCGAACCTGCTGATGAGATCCTTCTGACCAACTTGGCGCAGCAGGTCCAAACGTCTTCGAGAAAACATGAGCAGGAAGCAAAACCTGGTTGGGACGACTTCCAGTAAAGCAGGTCTCTGTGGCCCTACACAATGCAGAGTTCTACCGCGCTGCCATTGTCACCAGTGAAAGAGCCAACGCAACTGGGTTTCACAGCAAAACAACGAGCAAGTCCTGATTATGGGTTTGGAAGGGTATGAAGCATTTATGAAAGCGTGTGTGAAGCAGTCAATGGCCTCATATTGTGACAGAATCACGTTATGGTCATTCCACTCTCTTAGGCTCTCTTGAACATGATGCAATCATTGACGCATGACCTTGGCGCCCAATCTTTGGTCTTGTCTGTTCAGAGCTAAGACATGAGAGACTTGAGCAGATTGGGTTGGCAAGCTCTGAACAAGCCAAGCAGATTCGGTGTCTGAATTTTGCCCTCAAAGGTGGCGACCCACGCCTCGACACTGGTTCGAGCAGACCGCTGTACCGTCTTTCTCGTTGATGATAGGCGTCATTGAGAGGGTCGACTGTCGATCACAATCTGATTCTCGTTTGTAGACTCTGACGGCACTGCTGTTTGTGCTGTAAGATCACACCAGGACTACAAGTGAGAGCCCAAAAGACACATTTCAATTGCACGACAGTAGAGTTTAGAAAGCAGGATTGTGCTGCATGTGAAGTTGGCAGAAGCACCAAGGGGACAGAAGAATGATACGAATGTCCAAGGGCGAGGGGTCAAATATCCAACTCTTTCGGTGTCAAACATCCCCTCTTTTGAGAGACTGTGATCAATTGGCCTTGTTTTCAGTGACATGTTTTTCTACATAGACGTCTCCGACATTCATGTCTGGGACAGTGAGGTCTCGGACATTAATCAGTGTGTCGGACAGTGAGGTCTCGGACAGTAAGGTCTTGGACGGCACAATTTGGAGGAGGGAGGCGCCATTACTTCTGAGCCACCCGAAGGTAAAATTTGAAGAAGAGAGGTGGCACTCCAAAGGCGCATGCCCTTCCAACCCCCCGAGGGTACAATTTAGAGGAGGAAGGTGCCGTTCCGATGGTGCATGCCGAGGGTAAAATTGAGGGGAGTAAGGTGACATTCCAACGGTGCATGCCTTTTGTGAGCCATGTGAGGGAAACATATACAGGAGAGAGGTGCCATTCCAACGGTGAGCCAGTAACATTTAAAGGCGGAGGAAGGTGCCATTCCAACGGCGCATACCTTTTGTGAGCAACCCGAGGGTAAAATGTAGAGGAGGAAGGTGCCATTCCAACGGTGCATACCTTCTATGTGAGGTCTCGGACAGTGTCGGACATGAATGTCTCGGAAAGTGAGGTCTCTCGGACAACATTCAGATCTCGGACGGTGAGGTGTCGGGTCGGGCGTTAATGTCTCTGACAGAGACGTCTCGGACATTGATGTCTCGGGCAATGAGGTCTCGGAGACACGCTTTCCTGTCGGCCATGCTCCATGGAGCTCCAACGGGCTCATGAGCCATGTGAGGGAAACATATATAGGGAGAGAGGTGCCATTCCAGCAGCGCATGCCTTTTGTGAGCCACCTGACATAAACATATAGAGGAGGCAAAATTTAGAAGAGGGAGGTTCCATTCCAACTGGACATTGATGGAGAGTCTTCCGGACATTCATGTCTCGCACCGTGAGTTTTCGGACATTAAGTCTCGGAGAGTGAGGTCTCGGACATTAAAATGTCTCGGACAGTCAGGTCTCCGACTGGTGTCTCGAATGTGGTCTCGGCCTGGGAAGGTCTCAGGCATGAATGTCTTTCAACAGTGAGGTGTCGGACATCAATGTCTCGGACAGCGAGGTCTCCGACATTGATGTCACTGACAGTGATGTCTCGGACAGTAAGGTCTTGGACATAATTATACTGTCTCGGACCGGGATGTCTCGGACATTCATGTCTTGGACAGTGAGGTCTCGGACAGTCATGTCTTGGACAGTGAGGTCTCGGACAGTCATGTCTTGGACAGTGAGGTTTCGGACATTCACATTTTGGACATTTTGATGCCTCGGAAAGTCAAGTATCGGACATTATAATGGCGCGGAATGTGGTCTCGGACGTGTCAGACACATTTAGACACGACTGAAAGGGGAGATACTTGACGCCAAATGGAGGGGATATTTGACCTCCCCCCGATGTCCAAATGCTCAAAAACAACTCAGAAGAAAAACTGGCACGGAGGATCAGTGACCTCTGAACCACAGCCCGTCTGAACCAAAGGCTTCGGCACTCCAGGCTTAAGACCTTGTAGCGGTTGACGGTGGAGAGGAATCCGAGAATTGGAGTGAGACTTGGAGTTTTAACCAGACAGAAGCGAATCAGAGAGGAAGCTAAACCAGACAGACGCGATTAATTGGATGAATGGGGAACAGCTACAGGATCACAGAGGAACACGCTTTGCGAGCTGAGCAGAATGAAGACTATAAGCAGACGAAGAAAGCAGACTGGAGCACCCACAGAGAATCCAGAAATCGTCAAGTTTGAAAGCAGAGTAGAGCCTAACAGCACTTGAATAAAATGCTTTCCAGGAACAAATTGGAAGACACTGGCCGGGTGCCTCTGAACAACACAGCAAAAAGGAGCACAAGGGGAAAAAACCCTAAACCCACTCTCCTGGCCGCTTGCTTTTGGGCTGCTTCTGACCGTGCCATCTGTATGTTTTTGGTGCCGTGGTGTCCCTGGTCCTTGATTTGACCAGAAGCAGCACCACCAAGCTGCGCACACCATGTGACTATTGGCATTTGTTTCATTTGTGTGACAAGACACTGGAGGGTACAAACATGATGGAGTAGCAAGATTATCAAGCTGTATTTGCAGTACATGCATTTGGCGCATGGAAGCAGCCCGAGGTGAGAAAAACGACTGTTGTTCATCCACGTGCAGTAATGGGACAAAGAATGAAGACTTTGCGATCCTTTGTATTCTCCTGCTTCGTAGAGTGTCCCTGCTCAGGGCTGAAGAGTTGATATCCATTGCTAATGACTCTGGCATAGAGATCAGGCTGGAGTTGTGTTGCGTTTAAAAGCATTTGAATGCCCTAACTCGACGTCGAGTACTTCGACAGGATTCCCAAGTCTCATGGAATTGCTGGAGAATGTGCGACCGAAAACAAATTGATTGTGATTGACGACGCGTACCCTGACAGAACAGTGCCTTTGAAGTCTTGGATTGAAGTCAAGTGAGCTTTGTGTCAAGCATTGTCAAGCCAAGGTACGAAGATGCTCGATTTAATCCCGAGTACGACGAAAAGACTGGTGTGGACCTCAGCTCAAGCTAGTACAGTATTCTGAATTCCATCCTGACATCCGTCCTTGGCTGACACCGGTTTGCTTTGGATTTCTTTGATGCTGATGTGGCTGGCTTAGCCGCCTAAGCATCCTAAGCCTTGTCCATGTTGAGGCTACCGGACGCATAGCATCATTGCTCTTCCGGTGAAACGGCCGCCTACCAAAGACAAGGCATGTGCTGTGATTCAAATGAGCTGCCCTCAGTAGTTTTTTGTTTTCTGCGCTGAGAAGAGATGTGAAGATCATGAGGATAGGGATTCTGTGAAATTCGTGAAGAGTTGTTACATTCAACCTGATTGTTTTTCGGGGATCGCTTTTCAAGGATCAACAAGCAGGAGTTTGATGACGAAATCGGCCGGTTTGATGACGAGGATGTGCAGGCCCGCGGCCAGCAGGGCCTGGAGCTCTGATGAACTTGGGGAACGGAACTACAAAGAGACCAAGATAAGCTAGTCTAAGTGCGAACAGAGCCTCTTTGACTCGTGGTAAAGCGCAATCGGGACAGGTTTTGGAGACCTATGCCATGTTTGTTGCAACCCAGCTGGCTCAATCTTCCTTGCTCTCTGAGTCTTGGCAAAAGCTACCTAAACCGGTCGCCATGCAAAGAAAAGCATTGCAGCTTTACAGATGGTGAGTGAACCGAGTCATGAGAGAGGAGTTTCTTCTTTTTCCTGTTTCGTTGGACCATGTTGGACCGATAGACTTTTCATGTTGCTTTCATTTTCTTCCTTCGTCTATTGGAGTATCGATGGATTTGAGAGATTGCCTTCAATGTGTTTGAGGCACGTGGGAAGGCCTTGACCTCAGCTGCGGTGCCTCAAGCCGTGTGTCGAACTCGCTGTTTGAGCTTCTTGAGGCGAATAGCGAGGAATTTGAGACGCACACAAACACGACAAGCATGAAGTTTCTCAGCTTTTAAGAGTGCTTTGTACCCGGATTCATGATTCATACAGATTCATCCAGATGTGTCGCACAGCTCAGGCAAGGGATGGACTCTTTCCAGGACAGCGGTTTTGCGTCAGAATGCCCGCAGACTTGACATGCGCTGCAGGGAGTGATCGAGGAGATGGATGAGGAGGAGGATTGACCGAAGATGGATGGTCTCGGTCCCGAGAGGTTGATTCCCCGGACCATTTGGAAGCCATTTAGCACACAGAATCAATGCACAAAGGTAAGATGAGGGAAGTACCCAAGCGCGCTCGCAAGCCAACCCTGCGCTGCGCTTGCGCTGCATCTTTCGGTTTCACAAGTTGGATGCGACCAAATGTGGCTGCAGAGAAACCGAAAAGAAGGTTTGGATTCAAATGCACCAATGTCAGTTGCCTGTCCGTTGCCTGCAAGTCTTGTTTGTGGGCGAGGCCAAAAGTGAGCCTGCAACTCGATCATGCTTGACCATCCACCGGTGCGCCGTCCATGGAACCGGCATTGTGGTTCAGCCGTTGGATTGGCGATGCTGATGACCTTCATGTATCGACATGAATTGCAAGTGCAACTGCACCATCTCCAGCAATTTTCCACGGGATGTACGACTGTTGACTATTGCGATGTTTTACACTCAGAATTATTCATGACTTTGATGTAAAGGCTGCGTAGCTCTTCCATCATGTCATGTATATATATATATAGAGTTGCAGCAGCTTTGTGCTTTCGCCATGGAAAGCTCAGGGAGTGTTTTTTCAAGCCTTTTATCAATTGCATCCAGCTGTTTGGACAGGGCTTTGCTTCCTTTTTCTTGACATGTCTTCCACAAACTTCACAGAGGGCTCTTCGAAGTGTGGCGGCCAAACCTTGAGAGGACTGCTTCCGCGGTCTCCGTCGAACATCTTGCTTTCCAAAGTCTCCGATTTGGTTTGATTGCCACTTCATCTTCAGACGGGAAGAGATTTGAACAGTCGGCCTTTAAGCATCGATCTGTTTGCTTTTTGTATTCTTCCTAGGCTGGACAATTTGCTTTGAGGTGGCCTCAGCCACGCGGATGTGGAGAGATATGGCCGACAGATTGTGCTTCCAAGCCTGGGTCCGGAAGGCCAAAAGAATCTCCTGGAAGGACTCAGAAACGAGACGCAAAAATACGATTGGAAGAGAAGGCAGATTGGAAGCTGGCAGGAAATTCAATTTTTCTTGTAGGCCAGATGGCATGCACCCAACATGCCTTTTGTTTGATGAATGTGGCAAGCATCTAGAATCTAGCAGAATCTATATAGCAGAATCTACCACTTGAAGGACGCTTTCCAACACAGTTTGTACAAAAAGGAGTTTCCTTACAGAACTGAAAACAAGGAAGCATCCTTGTCGTGGGAGCTGGTGGGCTAGGTTGCCCCGTTGCTTTATACCTGGCAGCAGCAGGTGCGATCGCCTGACATTCAGCAAACTATATTGGACCTTTCTTCCTTTTCTTTTTTCTTTGTTTCTAATAGCGATGGCCTCCAACCTAAGAGCGATGGCCTTTTTCTTTTCCCATCCTGAACGATATCGTTCCTACTTGACCATTCTACCCTTGCAAGAGGTCTATTGAGTCTATTGCCTACTGACACTCCACAAGAGGCCTATTGTCTAGGTAATTTTTTGTACACTAAATCGAACATGTCATGAAGAACAACATGTTGCAGATGTTGCATGAACAGGCCAAACATGGTCAAACCACATTTTGCGGTTCACTGCCAACTAGACTTCACTGACCACTTCGCTTTGTTTCATCGTCGCAGGTGTTGGCTGCATTGGAATCGTCGATGCTGACACTGTTGCTTTGAGCAATCTTCATCGACAGATTGGACACTCCTGGAGATGGATCGGAAGAAGCAAAGCAGAATCTTTGGCGCACGCTTGTCAAGAAGTCAATCAGGCAGTGTCAGTCAAAGCGCACAGCCTGCGGCTCAATGAACGACGAGAAGCTGCTGACCTCATGGCAGGTTGCTTATTTGATAGAGGTTTGTACATCGTTTTTGGATGTTTTTGGACACCGCCACGAAAGAGGAAAAAGGGAACGTGTGTGGGCCTTTTCAATACTGTTAGTCTTGACATGAATTTGTAAGTTTTGTTTTTTCAAGTTGGATTCGTGAAGGCTATGATGTCGTGGTCGATTGCACAGATGCCCCTCCAAGCCGATATTTGTTGAACGATGCGGCACTATCTGCAGCACGACCGTTGGTAGCAGCATCTGCAGTTGGGCTTTGCTGGCTAAATTCAGTGGTCGCTTTCATGAAGCTTTGCCGTTGTTGATTCAAACCACAGGTATCTTGTTCAATTCAAACAGAAACTTGATGTGGAAACAAGATGAGACACGCACAGGCTGAGTGGCCAGTTGGCAGTGTACAACTTCGAGGGTGGCCCATGTTTGCGCTGTGCTACTCAGATCACTGCTTTGCTGTGGGTTTATGAACATTTTTTTGTTGCCAAAGCCGATGTTTGCTCAACATCCAAGGTTTTTCCAGTGCTGGCATCACCAGCGGATGCGGAGCCGGTTGCGTCCTGCGAGGAGAACGGTGTGCTGGGGCCGATTGTAGGCACTGTGGGCTCGTTGGCAGCTCTTGAGGCTTTGAAAGTGCCTTGCTGGATAAGGATTATTATTTTTTTAACGTTATTTGGATGTTGGAAGCAAAAAAGAGCCACAATGGCATATTACAAAGACACTTCGGAAACTTCGTAAGACTGCTCCAGAAAATCCTGGAGACGCGGGTCTTGGCCGCACCGGACTAAGCTCCAAGGATAGCGATTCAACATGTCCCCTTTGGCTCTAGACTCTAGTCAAAACAGTATGTTCTACAGTACTTTTGATTGACCTCATGCACACTTGAAGCAGAATCTTGCGCCGAAAGAGGCAGATTTAAGCAAACACACAACACTCAGGCTTTAGAAACTTTAGCTGCTCGATGATGCTGAGGTGCTTGCGAAACAATCTGCTCTTCACAAGTCCTGTTTACGGGGCAAATTGCTCCTCTTTGACCCGACAAGCTCTCTGCAGCCTTGTCGGACTGTACGAATCCGAAGGCTGATCGAACGCTTCGGCTTTTGCTCTGCAGAAGATTTCATGGTTAGATTAACGGACCGATCCTTGGATCCTCTTGTTACTAGTAGTGCTTGTTACTAGTAGCTTCTAGCTACCAGTAGTAATGTCCTTGTTCCTAGTAGAAATGCCCTTTGTTCCTAGTAGCGTCCTCGTGTTTCGGTAGCAAGGCCAGGAGCTACTACTAGGGTCCTTGCTCCCTTTGTAGTTAAATAACCCATCCTTGGATCCTCTTGCTGTAAGCATCGTTCGATGTGGCCAAAAAGCCGCATGGTATCCCCGAGACTTGTGGCCTTGAGACTTGGAGGCAACCTGACTGTGTGGGATGTGCATCCAAAGATGATGGTGATCCACCAGTGCCGTTGACTTGTGCAGTGCCTAGTCAGCTGACAAAGGAGATCAGTACCTGCTTTGCACAAAGAGCCAGCATTTGGTGATTAGTGATTAGCTATAAGCTGCGGAGCAGAAAAACCAGTGACCCCGATTGCTCAGTGGCAAGATGCTGAAGCGAAAAACGCAAGAAGCCAAGGCATATCTCCAAAAGCTTTGCATGAACGCTTGTCGACGACCGACCCCATCATCTTGCTTGATGTGAGGCGGGGTATTCAAAGCCGTTTCGATCCATTCGTTTGCTCTACTTCAAAATGTGAAGTCTGCAAGGCAACCTGCACATTTCGCTGTAACAAGACTGAAAGCTGCGGTGAATTGGCCGCTGACAGAGATGAATAGGCAATCCCTTGAGGACTGAGCACTTTCAACTTCGACCGAAGGAATTGCTGTCCACGAAGCCCTGGAGGAAAGACAAGAGAAGTTCAGGTCACTCGAAAAAGATCTGATGAAGCCTGTGGTGGTATGCGTTTGTCGACGAGGAAACGATAGCTCTGTGGCCACGTTGCTGGCCTGAATATCAGGATCCAACGCTCAACATATTATTTTGCTTCCGTTTTCGCATCAAGAATGGTCCCAGTGTCTCACGCTAAGTCTGACATTTTGCATTGTGTCAGTAGACTTAACGTGATCTGCAGGTTGCTGATGAGAGATGCTGGCATCCCAGCCCTGAATCTCCAAGGTGGTTTGCAGCAACTCATGGCATGTGAACCGCTTTTTCAGCGGAGTCTGCCGGCATTGACATGACCAGAAGCAGAGCAAAATGGTGGCCATGCAGACATGCAAGACCTTTTGCACAGCAGGTTGTTGAGATGAAGTGGCCGGTGACCACGACTTGAGAACACGGTGATGTCTTGGATCTTAAACAGGCCTACAAATAGCCCGCATTGCTTGCGAACTTAAAGGACCACCCAGATTTGCGATTACCACGAGAGCAAACATCAAATACAACAACCGTTTTTCTGCGAGGGGTGAACTGAGCCCATATGAGTGATTGTGTTGATTTGCCCCAAGCAAGCAGACAAAACTGAACATAAAGCTTTAGAATATGGAAGTTGAAGGAGCCTTGGAGCCTTTGCCTCAGAGATTATTTGCATGGGCGATTCGAGTTGGCGTCCCCAAAGCACTCGAATAAACACCCCTTCGGCAAACATCACACACACATATATATTATATATACAACTATATATAACTATTATATATTATATTTCTTATCATTTCCTGAAGGCTTGAGTCAAGAGGAGAGGAGTTTCCTGCCCATTTTTTTGCTGCGCCTTCTTTTTGTTCGATTCTCTTCCTGAGCCTGGGTCCACGGGGAAGAACTTTTCAAGCCAAGGTCTGCAGTGCAGCTGTTGCAGCGCAGGCACTTCTGTCTTCAAAGCTGATCGATTGTTGTCAAGAGAATCCACAAGGGTTTGAAGTGCTTACTACAAGATCTACAAATCTTGTGAAGCATGAGTCATAACATACCACTAGGTGTCATGACAGCTACAGTAAGATCTGTTGGCCCCCAAGGAGATCCACCGTAGATCCACCGGGCCCATTTTGTCAATTCGTTCGAACGCTGAGACACTCTGGCAGGCTAGACGCGCTGCAGAAGGAGGCCCAACTTGTTCAGAGAGAAGTTCTGTCACCACAGCTGATGGGAGGTGAGGAGCTGCCATGAAGAATCCGCAGCCCTTCGTGAATACTTGTCCGAGGCAAGCGATGGCTCCATTTCTCAAGAAGCGCCGAGAGACATGTAGTCCATTTTGTCCCAGGTTGGAACGATTCGAATGGCCTGTAGCTCAATCAATCTGAGCGTGTTGGTATGTGAAGTGTGTTCGGGAAGGGCAGTTGGCCAGAATGGTGATAAAACACGCAAAGCGGATGTGACTTGTTTGGCATGGTCACGTTGGAAAAGCAGCTGCCAGATTTCTGGCTTCAGACCATTGGGCTTCAGAATGCCTGGTTGCAGCAATGGAACTTCCAGAGTGGCTCCGAAGCGAACCCAGCCCAGCCTTGGAGCCTGAGGACATTCGTTCTCTATTCTTTTAATTCTTATATATATATATCTCTCTATTAATAGGTTGGAGGCCATCGCTTCTAGGTTGGAGGCCATCGCTCTTAGGTTGGAGGGCATCG